GCCTAGCATGAGGATGTGTTGAGAACGTCTCGAGAGATACGCTTGTTTTCACGTGTCCAGGTCGCCCAGGCGGATGTCTAACATGAACATGTGTTGAGGATGTCTCGAGCGAGACCTTTGCTTTCACGTGTACAGGTCGCCAAGGCGGATGTCTAGAATGAAAAGGTGTTGAAAACGTCTCGAGCGAAACGCTTGCTTTCACGTGCCCAGGTCAACCAGGCGGACGTCTCACATGAAGATGTGTGAGGATGTCTCGAGCAAACTACTTGTTTTCACGTGTCCAGTTCGCCCAGGCGGATGTCTAGCATGAGAATGTGTTGAGGATGTGTTGAGCGAAACGTTTGTTTTCACGTGTCCAGGTCGGTCAGGCGAATGTCTAGAATGAGGATTTTGACAGGATATCTCGAGCGAAACGCTTGTCCCCAGCACGTTCCGTAGCGCGTCCCCTTGGCACGTCCCGCGGTGCGTCCCCATGGCACGTCCCCTGGCATGTCGCCTGGCGCGTCCCTTGAGACGTTCCGCGGCGCGTCCTCCTGGCATGTCCCCCTGTCAATTAGTTCTGCGGCAGATACTATGCGTTCAGGCAGCTCGAGCTTAAGATCCAGATCAGTTCGGTCAGGACTCGGATGCAAAGGAGGACTCGATCCACGACGCTATAGAGCACAACCGCGGCATGGCACATCGCAATTCAGCACGGTGCAGCACAGCACAGACTTCGGCACGGTACATCAAGATCGATACAATCAGCATTGCAACCTGGCACGTTCTTTGGCACGTTCCGTGGGGCGTCCCTTGGCGAGTCCCCCTGGCACGTCGCGTCGCGCGTCCCCTGGCACATTCCGTGGCACATCCATTGGCACGTTCCGTAGCGCGTCCCCTTGGCACGTCCTACGGTGCGACCCCATGGCACGTCCCTTGGCACGTCGCCTGGCGCGTCCCTTGGGACGTTTCGCGGCGCGTCCTCCTGGCATGTCCCCCTGTCAATTAGTTCTGGGGCAGCTACTATGTGTTCAGGCAGCTCGAGCTTAAGATCCAGATCAGTTCGGTCAGGACTCGGATTCAAAGGAAGACTCGATCCACGACGCTATAGCGCACAACCGCGGCATGGCACATCGCAATTCAGCACGGTGCAGCACAGCACAGACTTCGGCACGGTACATCAAGATCGATACAATCAGCATTGCACTTGCCCGTCACCCAATCAGGTGTCTTTGAAAACGCTGCCATGCGTTACATTTCTATATTCTTTTCCGGGTTCGTGAGTCGATCATGTTTTTCTGCTTTGGAGAGGGGGAACGCCTTTTCGGCAGCCTCCGCGATGCAGATTCGTGGCCTCGGGGGGCGCCCGCTGTGTAATTTACGAGGGATCGTGGCGTCAGTGGCGCGAACTTGCTGTAATTTACAATGGATCGTGGCCTCGGGGACGCGAAAACGATGTAAATTACAATGGATCGTGGCTTCGGGGGCGCGAATGTGGAGTAAATTACAAGGGATCGTGGCCTCGAGGGCGCGAATGTGAATTAATTTGCAAAGGATCGTTGCCTCGGAGACGCAAGTGTGGCGTAAATTAACGGCATCGTGGCCTCGGAGACGTGAACGTGGCGTAATTTAGAGGGGATCGTGGCTTCGGGGGCGCGAATACAGCGTAATTTGCGAGGGGGTATGGCTTTGGGGGCACGAAACTCAAGTATCTTTACGTGTCCCACGCCCCCCCAGAAATTCTGAGCGGGGGACGCTAACCAGGGCCCTTTTCGGCTCCCCCCCTTCGCGCGGACAGTAACAATTTACAGTAGGAAGCAGAACGCAGTTCTGTAACAATGGAAACTGGAACTGGTGCAGGGAGCAGCAACCTGAATTCTCGCAGCCTGATGGCCCCGCAAGGGGGTCGGCGGATTTTTGCCTTCTCGCTGTTTCGCTTCCGACGCGCTTCTGAGGCCTCAAGATGGCCCCAAGATTGTCCAAAAAGGCCCGAAGAGGGGCCCAGGAGGCCCTCAAGACGGCCCAAGAGCGTTCTAGAACGCCCCAAGAGCGCCCCAAGAGGGCTCAAAAAAGGAGTTTTGAGGGCCCCGGGGGGGGGGCCTCGATCCCGACCCCCCTCCTTTGATCGATAGCCTTGACGATGGCCCCAGGAGGCGAACCAGGGCTCCCAAGAGAGCCCCAAGAGGGCTCCAAGAGGGCCCCCCAAGGGCCCCAAGACGGCACCAAGAGGGCCCAAAGACACTCCAAAAGATAGCAAATATGGTTCCAAGATGCGATGTTGAGAGCTCTTGAGGGGGGGGGGGCGACATCGAGAACCCCTCCTCATTTGATCGATGTTCTCCAACATGTCCCCAAGATGCTCTCAAGGGCCCCCAAGAGGCTCCAAAGAAGGTTCAAGATCCTCCTCGTCCTCGTCCTCATCCGCCGCGGCCCCGTCCTCCTCGTCGTCCTCCTCCTCCTCCTCCTCCTCCTCCTCCTCTTCCCCTCGCCCCCACGCGGCGCCCAGGGATGGCCCGAAGAGGCCTTCCAAGGCCACCCCTTTGCTTGCTTTGTTTCCCTAGATGTGTCTTTTCGTTCCTTTTCCGTCAGCTCTGAAGGGCAGGGCTTCTGAATGGGCTGGTGGGGCTACGCGAAGCGTGAAGAGTAATCATTTGCCGGGCGAAGGACCCCACCATGTGCAGCTGACCCCCCTTAATGATAGGGCCACGAAACTCTGTACCGGGCAGGAGAGACGCATGCGGGTTGCGAGAATGGGACATTCGGTGGAGCTCCCTACGGGGCCACGAGGCGCTGTACTCGGTGGGGGAGCATGCGGGCTGCGCCACTGGGACCTTCGGTGGAGCTCCCAACCGTTGTACTGGGTGGCGGAGACGCATGTGGACTGCGACACTGGAACCTCCGGTGGAGCTCCCTATGGGGCCGCCAAGCGTTGTATGGAGTGGAGGAGACGCACGCGGGCTGCGCTACTGGGACATTCGGTGGAGCTCCCTATGGGGCCGCGAATCGCTGTTCTGGGTGTGAGGGACGCATGCGGGCTGCGCCACTGGGACCTTCGGTGGAGCTCCCAACCGTTGTACTGGGTGGCGGAGACGCATGTGGACTGCGACACTGGAACCTCCGGTGGAGCTCCCTATGGGGCCGCCAAGCGTTGTATGGAGTGGAGGAGACGCACGCAGGCTGCGCTACTCGGACATTCGGTGGAGCTCCCTGTGGGGCCGCGAATCGTTGTTCTGGGTGTGGGGGACGCATGCGGGCTGCGCCACTGGGACCTTCGGTGGCCGTCGGTGGAGCTCCCACTGGGACCACGAATCGCTGTACTGAGTGGGGGGAACGCATGCGGACCGCGCCACTGGGACCTTCGGTGGAGCTTCCTATGGGGCCACGAAGCGCTGTACTGAGTGGGGGAGGCGCATGCGGGCTGCGGCATTGGAGCCTTCGCTGGAGTTACCAATGGGGCCACGAAGCGCTGTACTGGGTGGGGAAGACGCATGCGGGCTGCGCCACTGAGACCCTCGATGGAGATTCCCATGGGGCGTACTGGGTATGGGAGACGCATGCGGGCTGCGCCACTGGGACCTTCGGTGGAGCTCCCAATAGGGCCACGAAACGCTGTACTGGGTCTGGGAGAGTTATGCGGACAGCGCCACTGGGACCTTCGGAGGAGCTCCCTATGGGGCTACGAAACATTGTGCTGGCTGTGGGAGACGCATGCGGGCTGCGCCGCTGAGACCTTCGGTGGAGCTCCCTAGGCCCCATGGGGCCACGAAGCGTTGTACTGGGCGCTAGGGAGGAGGGAGGAGGAGGGGAAGGAGGAAGGAAGGAAGGAGGAGGGACGCGGGGCGCTGTCCTTTCAAAACGAGGACCCAACACCACGGGATGGTTGGGAAAAACAGTTTCGGATGCGTGGAGGGAGGTTGTTATCCCAAGCTGGGGTTAGGGAGCTCGGAGCTGACCAATGAGCCAAGGAGCTCGGCGATGGAATTCGGTGTGTAGAGACTCCGGCGTCCCGCAGGTTGGGCGGCAGCGGCGGCTATACACCGAGTTCATGGGCCGACCAAGTGACGTGGTTTATACATCGAGCCCCTCCCAAGGGGGTTATCCCTGGGCAGTTTTGTTGGCCGATGCTCTGTCTTCCCCGCCTCTGCCCCTCCCCGCCTTCATGTACCTCCCCCCGAGTGGGTCGCGGGCCCGCGAACGGTGCTTTGTCCACGCACCTCGGGGTGAAAACGCAATTTCGGGACATGCACGGTCCTCGTGCGGCTACGAGCTGACTCTGACGAGACGGCCTATCACCGCACCGTTCCGGTACCACCGAGGAGCAGGCTTCCGGGGAGGCCCGGGCGGACCCCAAAGGAAGGGAGGAGCGCACAGTCGCGTTGGATCCTCCTCCGCTTGGGCTCCTCGAAGGCGTGCACGAGGGGGCTTCTTGCCCACCGAGAGCGGGCGGGCCTCGCCAACACGCCCCGGCGCCAGAGGCCCTGCGGGTCTGCACAGTCTCTGCCCCCCTCTGTGAAGCGAAGCTTCACACAGCGCACTCCTTTTCCAAAACAGGCCACCAGGCACCCGTCTGGCGCCTCCTCGTACACGCACACTGCTGAGCTGGGAGAGGGGTAGGATGTTGGATGTGGAGTGTGTGGTATTGGGCTCGATGTTGGTAGAATAGGAAAGGCGAGGGAGGTACTCTTACCTCCAGGGCTCCCGCGGCCCCGCTGAAGGCCTCGAGCACAAATGGCTATGGACACAACGAATAGGGGTCAGCCTCCAGGACGGGGCGGACCATCTCGAGAATCGACACCGGTCCAAAAACATGTTCGCTCAAGTCCATAAGTAAAGCAACAGGCCTGACACGTCGCGGGAGATTACTTGCCAGCAGGAGATATGACATCACCCCACAGATCTGGCCGAAAATCAAGACAGGTCGCATTTTCTAGAGCTTGGATACCTACACTCTTGCGTTTCTTAGCTGATTCGAACATCTGATCGTAAACAAGACACAACCTGCACTTATTACTGAAGAACAATTATAGTTTCCAGCGCTCATGGTCTTTCGTGAGACTGTTAGCGAGCATGGCACCAGTGTGTACCCAACGGACCGGGCACCCACACGCGACAATACCGTCTCTCAAAGCAAGCAATTCCAGACCAGTTCTGAACTCCTTGCCTCCCATACGCTTCTCGGGACAGCGCAAACGGTCGTATAGGTTCTTCGAGTCGGTGATCAGGCACTCCTGGACCTTACGTACCTGGGCCCATGGGTCTCGGAGATCTGGTTTCCAACCCGAAAGCTCGGCCAGAAGGAACCTCACGTAAGTGACCTCATCCTCGGTGTTCACTGTTGCTGAAACTTCTGCTGATGGCGGTGACCGGCACGTGCGCTCGACTTTACCCGACCTCCAACTGATTAGCGAAACCCCTGTCTCCTCTCCAGCCAGAAAACTCACCGGAACGATCCCGAGCACTCGGCCCTCGGTCGATTTGCCGTCCACACGGTTGCCGAAGGCGGCATCACCCCAGCCGACGACGGCCAGCTCGCACTCTGCGAACGGGGAAATCTCCAGCATTCTTCCTTTGGTCTCCTTGGCTCGCTTGATCAACTTGTTGACCTTCACGAGGTCGTCCACCGTACATGATTCCGTCTTGCTCTGCAGCAAGCTCAATTCCGCCAGGATGTTTGGACCCGTCTGGGTACCCTTCCACTGCAGGCTCCCAGTGGCCGCTCGAAACTGAGTCTTCTCCGCCACTGTCACCGGCGACGAAAGTTGTCTCCGTCGCTCTGCGGGGACCTCGATCTCCTCGATCTGCTCCGTGTAGGCGGCCTGACTCGGCGTGAATCCGAAATCAGCTCTCTGGGTAACGTCAACGCCGCACTGTGTGAAGGTGTTGTACTCCCACTCGGTCCACCTGAAAGCTCCCGTCACCTGACGTCGGGCCTGCTGCCAGGTCTTGTCCGCTTCGCGGCCGGCGAACGAGAAGTCATCCACGCGAGACAGAGCAATCGCCACGATGTCGTCAGGGCGTCCAGTCGTCGAAGGACTTGTCAGGATCCACACACACGGGTCTGACTCCAGCTGCCGCCAGCCCAGCTCCTTCAGCTTGCGATTCATTGCCTGGTGCCATGCCCGAGGTGCCTGCACCAGGCCGTACGCTGACTTCTTCAAGATGGCCGCTTGACCCGATCGCAAGCCGAGCATCTCCACGATCTCGCCCGTGGGCTTGACGAACAGTTCCCGATCCAGCTCTTCGCCCTGCAGGAACGCAGACTTCACGTCGCCCCCGGCCACCCGCATCTTCAAGTTCGCCGCCTTCTGCAGAGACACCTGCCGAGCGGTTCGGGTCGCCGTCGGCGCATGCGACTCCTGCGTGGTGAGGTCGGGGTCCTGGAAGCCGAGAATCACTGACCGGGCTTTGGCTCGTCGACCCCCAGGTTCTGCAGGATCGACCTTCCATGTCAGGACCCACCTGAGGCGCATCAGTCTGTCGCTTGGAGCCGAGGCATGGCTCGGCAGGCCCTCCAAGACCATCTCCTTGATCCGCTCCTGCGCCTCCCTGGTCCTGGCCTTCCTGAACTTCTCGAGATCCGCCGCTGACAGAGTTCGCTCCCGGACCTCCGCACGCTGACGTCGCAGCTGTGTAGCCACGAAAGGCGACAGGTCGCGCGCGGCTGACCCGCCTCGCGCTCTTTCAGGAAGGCTGATCTCCACCTCGATGGCATTGTCCTCTCGGTTCCAGGAGCACGCAAACGGCTGGATCTCGGCAGTCAAACCCTGCTGATCGATCTGATCACGTCGCTTCTGTCTATCTGATCTTTCCAAGCCGTAGTGGTCCCCACCTGCCGCAGCAGCTGGTGGAAGGCCTTCCCAGGCATATGGTGACTGTCTCAATGGAGTCGTCCGAGATTTGTTAGGCGGCCTTGCAGGGGTAGCTGGAAACGTTGCGGGCTCAGGAGCCCGAGGCTGCGACGAGCCCGCAGCGGATGAGCTCGCTCCCGACGGTCCAACTCGCGGCTGCTTGGACGTGGAGGTGAGCTCTGTCGGTACCCGCTTGCCTGTGATACGTCTCCTTGGCTCCTCGTCCATCGACGAAATCGTCGGTAGTGGTGGTGCGTCTCCGGCGTCCACAAACTCCGTGTCGCTCGGGATCAGGCGAGGGTCGTCTGCCAAGTCCTCGTACTGCCCCGCCCTGAGGCCTTGCGTCATACTGTTGAACGTCCACGGCAACTCGGTCCCATGTGTGATCTCGTGCTCAGCCACTTCACGATCAGACGCGTCACGAAGCTGGCAAGGGTCACAACGAACGAGCCGACCACAAGCGTTCAGACACACTCTCGGTCGAGGTTGAACTTCACCGTCCCGATGGACTGTCTCCGTGACCAAGACTCGGGCTGGCCCATAGAACCTGCCCGTCATGGAGCTGCTCTTCGGATTCCTGAAATAGTAGACCAAAGTCCCTGGAGTATATACCATCAACTTACGAGACCTGGCATGACTGGCTCTGCGAGCTCGTTCAGCATAAACCAACCTGAGCATTGCCTCCTGCGCCTGCCGCATGAACTTGAAATTCTCCCCGAACTCGGCGTCGACCGCCTCCGACTCCAGCGCCGGCAAGTTGACCGGGTCACCTGGAGCGTCCATGAACGATCCGTCGAGGTCTGGGGCACGGCCAAGGGCCACCTGCAGTGGGGAAAACACCCGATGCCGGTCGAACTCGTTGTAGGCCACCACCGCACGTGCCAGGTATTCCTCGCACGATTTTCCCGGACATTCCCGGGCCAGGGTGGTCAGGAGATCCTTGATGAGGCAGATGAGCCGCTCGATACCTCCAATCTGCCAGTGCGCCTGTCTGGGGATAGGGCCCCTCTGGATACTACTCGACTCCAGGTTCTCCCTGATGGTGTTGCTCATCCACGCTCCCTCCGGATTGACTTGAAAGATCCTTGGTCGGCCGAAGTAAGCGATCCATCGACTCCAGAGCGAGTTCTTCAGTTCCTCAGCCGTGGCGTTCCTGCTCTTGACCATCTTGAATAGGGCGTGGCCGACTCCGAGCTTCGAGCCCTGGTCCAACTACAGCACCAGCTTGAACTTCTCGTTGCTGCATGGGTTCTCCTACTCGGCCAGGTCGCTCTGCAGGACAGCCCACTTCTTAGGCACCTCGTCGGCCGAACCGACGGGCCGCAGAGGCCTGTGCTTCTGGCTCTCGTCGCAGGCTGGACAGCGCATGCCTTTCACATGTCCCACGATCCGCTTGTCCGCGCCTCGAGCTGCCAGTGACCTGGCCACCTGAACGAACGGGCAGTGTCCACAAGCGGCGTGGATCCGTCGAACTGCGACCTCTACCCTTCGAAGCTCGCCGGGGTCGATCCCTGTCTTCGAAGCGGAAACGGCACAGACGACGCCCATCTCCTCGTCCGCGGCCTCGGACTCCCGCACGAGGTTGCAGATCTCATCTATCTTCGGTTCTTCCAGCATTGCGCTGATTGCCCTCTTGACGAATGCCTCTGGGTAGTACGCGGTGGCCGCCGTCCTCGCACCGCCTACGCATGGACTGTGCTCGTGACGTCCATCGCATCGAATAGCCGCCCTCTGGCACATCCGGTCGGAGGTGGTCCAGATCTCCCAGGGCTTGACCATCGGCATTGATCCCGGCGTCTCGAGCCTTGACGCCCAGCATGCAGCCATCGCAGAGCGCATGTCACACTCCCGGAAGATCTGCTTCAACTCCGGTTACCGATACAGCTGGAGATCCTTCGGCCACTCCCAGTGTACGTGACCTCTGTCCGCCACCTGGTCCATGACAAGTAGCAAGGATTTCCGGATCAGGCGCTTGGACTTCTTCCGGCTCTGGAGGATCTGCTCCCAGACCTCCGGCTTATGACGATTTTGAAATTGTTGTTCCCTGACCACGGGCCACAAGGTAGGGAAAACCACATATGTTCAGGACGTACTCGCTCTCTCTCAGCTCTGGCCTTCTGCAGGCCTGCAGTGGTGGATAAATGAAAACCGTTCCAGCCATTAATTCGACTTGCACTGTCCGCTCCTGACTCCTGCATCACGAATTGAGATAGACCCGACGCTGGTGAGCAGCAGACCTCCATTAGCTTGATTCTTGCAGCCCCGGTCAGGAACGCCCAGGCTCGCGTCACACTCTTTTCCAGGCACCCCGCCAGCCAGGTAGCCTGAGAGTCAGTGAGATCCCTCAGCGGCCCGCCGCGGCCGGCCCAGGCGGGCCGCTCGACGACGAGCTCGTCTACTCTACCTTCTGCAACCTGGTCGTGAGCACATCCATGGCCATCTTCATGTTCCCGAGCATGTCGATGATCTGCTCCTCTTCGGTCTTCCCCGCGGTGTCCATCGCGGCGGTCTCCTCCATCAGGGAGCGCTTCGCCGTCGGCTGCTGGGACGACTGCTCCTTGAGCACCAGCCACTGAAACTCCGTCTTCTCGAGCTTCTCCCCCTTCACCTTGGGCTGAGGTAGCTCGTGCCTCGCCGAGTTCATCATGTCCTCGGCCTTGATCCCCTCTGAGATCAGCCAGTCCGTGAGACGCTTGAAGCGCGGATTGTCCAGGCTCACCAGCCACCCGGCGTACTCCCGCTCCTTCTTCAGAACCTCCTCTATCGTCATCTTCCGATGGCGGCCGAACGGAATCAGGTCCGTGTGCCCTTGACCATCCCCAGGGACTGTTCGCACGAGGTCGCCGCGCGTCTCCCTGCCAGTCAGGACGCAGCCCATGGCAGTCGCATCCTCGACAAGCTCGGCCTTCTTCTCGTGGCGCACCGGTGCGCCACCGACTGGCATCGCCCTGTAGATCCGGCGAAGCCTGGCCCGCAGCATGTTGCACGTCATGTGGGAGCCATCCTCGTCCCATAGCGCCAGCTCGGAGAGGAGCTCGACCTTGCGCATGCCGGACGTGGCCGAGTGCTGATGCATCTGCTCTGACGTCTGGAGGCGAAGGAATACTCGCCGAAGCCGAGGCTTGAGCCGTCGCACTGTGGAACTGAAGTGTTGTTGTCCATGTTGGATTCAATCTGGCATCGGCCCTCCGTGTTGCAGAGTCCCCTGCTTCAGGACCCCGAAGGGACCCACTTGATACGGCGGAACCCAGACCTTCCGAGACAGCTGAACCATGTTTCCCGAGACATCCGAACTCTTTTGGACTCGTAGACCTACTCTGTGGACTCGTAGATGCCCCTCGAGATCTTGTAGAGGTAACCTGGCAATTCGTAGAGCCCACTGGAGATCCCGTAGAGGTGCTTTGTGGACTTGTAGGCGTGCTCTGAGGTCCCGTCGACGCCCTGCAAGGCCCTGATGACGAACTTGGTGCCCCCGTAGAGCCCGCATGTGCCCCTGAACCTGACGCCTGGCCTCCACTGCTGTCAGAGATCGATGCCGCCAACGCCAGAGGTGAGGAGGGAGAGGAGGAAAGGATGTAAGGCACAACGGACTGCTGCACATCCTCGGCTGCTGAATCCTCAACAGGCTTGTCCGCAAGTGCCGCCATTCCTCGACTCAGAATGCAATCTGCCGGCCTCTCGACGCTCGTCGAATCGCCCAGTAAGTCGCACGTAAGGTCGATCAGCAGGTGGCCAGTACGAGACCTGGGACAGGATATCATCTTGGACGGGTCGACATTCTGAAATATGCCGCAGCTCGCCTCGAAGTCCACGATGGCCCCCAGGTTGTTCAGCGTCTCGATCGACACCAGGATTTACCCTTCGCGTCGATCGCGTGGACGAAAAATGGCACGCACGCTCCTTGCACCAGGAGCGTGCACTCGACCCTGCACAAGACACGCTTCACCTCGCCGTTGCCGAACTTGTAGACTGGCCGGTCCTGCAGGTCCAGCTCCATCGGCGGGTCACTCACTCACTCATGCCATACGCCGGAGCGCGTGGGCGAAAGAAGACAAGACAAGGCCAGCCGATTCTCACCGCTTTGCGGGAGCGGCGGCGCTACGGCGGTCGCATGATAGACAACGTGCGCGGCAGCAGGAGGAGGAGGAGCAGTAGGAAAGAGGGAAGACAAACGGCCGGCGAATGATACGGACTTCGCTTGGAACGTATCTGGCCGAAGGCTGCAGAAAGTCTGAGACCCGAATCATCAGGGGTAACTCGGGTCAGGGCTAACTCGGGTTTGTTTTTCGGGACTCCGAACCCGAGTTACCCCGGACCCGAGTTACCCCGGATAATTCGGGCGTCCAGAGCCCCGAATCATCAGGGGTATCTCGGGTCAGGGCTAACTCGGGTTCCTTCTTCGGGAATCCAAACCCGAGTTACCCCGGACCCGAGTTACCCCGGATAACTCGGGCGCCCAAGAAAGGACGCCAAGGCACCGGGCGTCGGCGGGTGGCCTCGAGAAATTAGGATCTCGTTGAGGGTCTCCACCGCCTCTGCCCCGCCAGCGGTCTTCTCTGGCCCCGCAGGCCGTGATGCCGTGCCCGGTCTCTCCGTGGCCCTCTCGACGATGTCGGCCCTCCTGATCTCGGGATCGTCGAAGTCCACCGCGTTGCCGAGCTCCTCCACCTCCAGCTCGACATAGTCCTCTACGTTGGCGTCGAGGAGAAGGGGGGAGGAGGAAGGCGTCCTCCTCCTCCTCGTCGTTGCCTCCACCTCCCTCCTCCTAGTCCTCCACCTCCCTCCTCCTAGTCCTCCACTCCACCTCCCTCACTCCTAGTCCTCCACTCCTCCACTCCTGAAGAAGGAACCCTTTTCGTTCGGGAGGGGCTCCGCGTTCCTCAAGTGTTTTGCAGCTTGCCTCAGGTTTTCCTTGTGTTTTCGATCGGAAGTCGAAGTTCAACTTATGGGAAAAACAGGCGCCTCGTTCCTTATTTAGGGTTCCTTAGGTCCACGCCCCGACTGTAGTCCTCTACGTTGGCGTCGTACTTCGCCGTCAACAAGGAGGCCCTGGAGTCTGCCGCCGCCGTCGCCGCCGCCCCGGGCCGGGGCCGGACGGCCGTGGCCCAGCTTGTGGTCCGCCCTGTGCGGGCAGCTCCCGGTGCGATGGGCCCCGCCGCACTTGAGGCAGGGCCCTTGACAAAACGACGCGAAGATCGGGACAAAATCGGATCGGGATAACTCGAAATCTCTGAGAATCGGCGGGTTTGGAGGATGTATTGGGCGCCGCGGCCGCTCCAGAGCGTTCCGGAACGCTCTGAGAGCGCTCCGGAACGCTCTGGAGCGATTTATCCCGATCCTAGCCCGGTTTTACTTGACGTCCGTCACCTCGCTGGCCCCCTCCTGAGCCGAAGAGCTTCCTGCCCGTGCGGTGCTCGTTGATCTGCTGCCGCGCGTCCTGAAGCCTCCTCTGGCTCGCCTGGAACAGTGCGTAATGGAGGATGACGATTAATAAATGACCGGGGGTCGTGTTCACGCGGCGGCGCCCGGGATGATGATTAGAAAAACCGGCCCCGGGCTGGGAAACTATTTTTTTAATCGTCCCCCCCCCGCCGTCCTCGGGCGCGCGCCCCCCCCGGTGACGAAACGCCGCACAGGCGAGCCCTGCTTCTGAGCGTTCCCCCCCCGGTGTGGGAAACTATTTGTTTAATCGTTCCCCCCTCCTTTTTTTCTTAATCGTCATCCCACATTAAGTTTCCTCTTCCTCACTGATCGCCCGTCGCGTAGGCCTCGTCGCCGATGCCTTCTTCCTCGCCTTCCGTTGTCGACGCCATCGCCGGTACACTGTGCCTCTCGTCGCTGTCGGCCCGGGTCTGCGCGTCATCCCCGCAGAACGCCGCCGCCGCAGCCTGCTGCCGGATAAACTTGGACTCCCGGTAATCTCTCTCCTCCGGGGGTGGACAGAACCCCCAACAGTGACACGTCGATTAGTGAATTGTCCGTTTTCGGTTTTCGAGAGGGCGCCGTGGCCGTTATTTTCCAGGCTTGCGCCCGCCAGGTTTGGGCCCGAAGTCGTTTTTTCTAAACCACGTTTTACTAAAGGGAGGTCTGTCCATCTCCGACTCCTTCAGGTTCTCGTCACTTGGCCACTGTGTCCTGAAGGCGCTCTCAACGTTGTCGACGGAAGT